ATTCAAATCTTTACCAAAAATGTGCTATTACATTTCTTAACAATTCAGCGTGGAAAATAAACAAAACAACCAATTAGTCAACAAATTCAGGGGTAGCTCCACTAAACAGGAAAAGCATACAATCATAACAGGCAAACTTAAATGCATACATCAAACCTGGAGCAACAAGACACAGCAAGACTAAAAAAACTAACATGGGTAAAACCATTGCTTACACACTGCTTCATGATAGTTACTAAATAACCTGTAATGCATGGGCCTAGAAATAACAACCTGCAGAAGTATAGCTCATTAAATTTCTGCAAACAAGAAGCCATCGTCGTCTATAACCCCATTATCCTCTGCACAGCTTTCATGGAACCACTGGACACAGACTGCACAGGAAAGCCACTCCTCTGTGGACTTGGGGTCCTCTCTGTCCCCATATGAACACTTGCAGATTGCACAGAGTTCCTGGTCCACTTGTGTCCTTTATCTTAGTTTTTTGCTTCTTCCCCTTTCTCTTTAATGAAAGAAAGGTGCTCATCGCTGGTCAGATTATAGGAAGGAGGTTTGGCCCTCTGGTGGCTGGTGGTTGGGCTTTCTCTCACTGGAATTTTGATTAGAGATTGGAATGAGACTTCTGGCTGTGTCACCACTTCAACCTCCTCTGCAAGAGGTGGTGGGCTAACAATGGTGGACAGAAGAAGGTGGGGTTGAGAGTGCTGAGGAGCAAAGATTGTTGGCTGAACAGCATCATGCAGAAGGTGATATAGGGTCCGCTCCAAAAGATCCCATGTTTGTGGATGACAAAAATCATCATCATCAAGTGGAGGATGACATGGGGTTGCTGGTGCAGGTTCCACTGGGTCCAATGGAGTCTCTTGAAAGGATCTCTAAGTTGTAACAAGCTCACTTGATCCTCTGCCGTCTTGGGTTGTCAAAGAGCTTTGGCCTACATTAGGACCTTATGTTTTATCTATCTTAAACTCATCCCTCCTCACAGGAGTTTTTCTAGCTTGCTTCAAAACTGCTGTGGTAAAACCCTTACTAAAGAAGCCTAGCTAGGATACAGACTCCCTGACCAACTATAGACCTGTTTCAAACCTTGCTTTCTTGTCAAAAGTTTTTGAGAAAGTGGTCTCAAATCAGCTTCTAAATTATTTATCACTAAATAAGCTATTTGAGCCATTTCAGTCTGCTTTTCGGGTAAATCATTCGACAGAAACAGCACTTACAAAAGTGGTGAATGATTTGCTACTATCTTTAGATTCAGACTTAACCAGTGTTTTATTGTTATTGGATCTTAGCGCTGCTTTCGATACGGTGGACCACTGTATTCTACTGGATAGGCTTGAAAACTATTTTGGCATCTTAGGACAAGTTCTGGAGTGGTTAAGATCCTACCTGTCAGAAAGATCTCAATGTGTTTTATATAACAACATACTCTCTGAGCCCTGTGCTGTTAGGCACAGGGTTCCACAGGGGTCTGTACTGGGTCCATTGCTGTTCTCACTTAACCTATCCCCACTGGGTCAGATATTGCGTTATTTTGGGATTGCTTTTCATTGTTATGCTGACGATTTGCAGCTGTACATGCCATTAGGTGTAGGAAGTAAGTATGATACAGCTAAACTTGAGACCTGTCTTGCAGCTGTTAAGAGCTGGTTATCAAAACATTTCTTGTTGCTTAATTCTGCTAAGACAGAAATTATGTTTATCAGACCAGCGAAACTGGGTCATCTTTTTGATCCTATTACTTTGTCTCTCGATGATTGTGTAATCAATGGAGACCGAGTTAAGAATCTTGGTGTGCTTTTCGATCAGACACTATCGTTTGAATTACACATAAAGGAGGTGACCAGAGTTGCTTTTTTCCACCTGAGAAACATCTCCAAGATCAGATCAATCTTGTCGTTTAAGGATGCTGAGGTCCTCATCCATGCCTTTGTGTCATCTAGGCTAGATTATTGTAATGTCCTTCTGTCAGGTCTGCCAATGAAAAGTCTACAAAGTCTGCAGATGGTTCAGAATGCTGCAGCTCGTGTTCTAACCGGAGCCTGCAGATATGAACACATTACCCCGGTGTTGGCCTCTCTTCATTGGCTCCCTATTTATGCCAGAGCAGACTTTAAGGTGCTGCTGCTAACTTCTAAAATATTAAATGGTAGTGTTGCTCCCCCGACCTGGCCTAGGGGTGCCAGGGAGGATTGTATCTTTACCCTGCAGTGGTCTGTCTGTATGTAAATACAAAGAAGCAACGAAGTTTAGCTGTGTTCAGCTCGGCTGCAGGATTTATTCTGCAGATTTTGCCTCTTTGGGGCATAATGCTCCTCACAAGCGCTATGCGCCCTCTAGCAACCTGGTTTGGTATTGTAATAACATTGTACTTCGCTCAGTGCACTGGAATCTGGCTTTAAATAGCTATTTGAGATACATAAACATAAAAAAAATATATTGGGGTTTCTTTTTAACTCATTTAACTTGTTCTTTTAGCAATGAACTGTATTTTCACTATAATTAACTTTTACAATGTCCCAATGGCTTTGAACCAATGAATCTTGTGATCCATGTTTAACCTTTTAATAACCTTTGTTTTTTTAGCTTAAAACAAAACACATTTTTCAACCCTTTACAGTAGCACACCATTGTATCTTACTGACCTGGTGAACCCCTATGTGCCTGCCCGAGCCCTGCGTTCTCAGGGGACGGGTCTTCTGAGTGTCCCAAAGGTCAGAAAGAAGACAGTTGGTGAGCGGGCTTTTTCTTTCTGTGCACCGACACTTTGGAAGAGTTTACCTCTGGCCATTAGGCAGGCTTGTTCTGTTGAGGTTTTTAAAGCAAAGTTAAAGACCCATCTGTTTACTGTTGAGTATGAGTCATGATTTCTCTGTATGTTCTTTCCTGTATTTTAACTGTATTGCTTTGTACAGCACTTTGATTTAAAGCGCTTTATAAATAAATGTATTATTATTATTAGATCGTGAAGGATTTTAACTTGCTGACGATCTGCCAAAACAGGGAGATCGTAGAACCGGGCTTATGTGTTTATTCTTGCACATTCTTGCTTCATGCTGCAGTTAATGCTCCGACACAGACGCAGAGAGGAGCTCAGACAGTCAATGATGAGAGATATAGCCCCGGTGTTTAAAATGTTGCTGTCGGTGTTTCTGCTCTCTCTCTCTGTTTTTAAAAGTTACTTATCAAGCCTCTCCACCCGAAGCTCACCTGTTGTGATAACGGAACCTATAGGGATAAGGCTAAATGATGTTACAAAGCAGCAGGCAGGTGAGAGTGAGTAACCATGGTGACTGTCTGTCTGTCAATCAACAATGTCCCGCCCCCTCTATGAATTAAACTCGTCTGTCAGTAAAACATACTTTGATCATGTGTCGCAGAATGAACAAATTCTGTATTATGTTTGATTATATATAAACTAAACTAAAGTTAGTCCAATGATGTCATAAAAAACAACAAAGGCTGCAGAGCCTGTATGAAGCTACAGGTGTAGGAACTCTGCAGGGCTAAAATAGAACAGAAACACAAGAACTCAAAGTCTACTTGTTCTTAAATGAATGCATCACTGCGTGAAAATGTTCCTGATGAACATAAAAGAGGACACATAACTCAATCATTATTTCAAAGTGGTGAGGAAAACCTTCAAATTGTGCATAAATATTGATCAAATTGAGGGAAAGACATTTCTGATGCTAAAGATCTTCTGGGTGAGAGACCTCCAGACCTCCTACAAAGATGTTTTTCAAATAGGCTAAACTTGTCAGCACCATTTTTGTGCATTTAAAAACATTATACAGGAAAATAAGTTTGGTTGAACTGGTCAGTAACTTACAAATTTGTCTAAAGATCAGTATGAAAAAAATCGTGATAAAATTGTGATTTTGCAAAAAAAAATCAAGATATGATATTTTTCCCATATCGCCCACCTCTACCCCCCCCCCCCCACATCCTGTCCTGCCTCTACTGATTTAGTTTCGTTCCCTGCTTCTCTCTACCTGTCTTTTTTCTGTCCTTTGCCATTATGATCTGAAATGCATTCAATTTGATTATTTAATAACATGCACAGAATTAAGTGGAATAAATGTTTTAATGTTGTGAATATTTAAATATCTGTGTTTTTTGCTATTTTCTTAAAACAGACATTTATCCTTAACATTATCCCTGACTTTAAAAAGGCAAGGGTACTCTCTTCACACACAAAAACTCATACTAATTTAACAGAGATGACACCACGCTAAATGATTGAATATAATGAGCCCTTCATCTTTTATATCTAAAACAATGCATTTAAAGACTGACATCCTGTCATGCCACTTTTTGCCTGACTGAAGTAGGCTTACATTTACAAGTGTCCCACATTAGGCAAATCACACTGTCACACTTTAGGACACGTGTTCTAAAGTGTGACAATGGAAAATTTGATTAAAAATAACAAATAGCTTTTTTTTTAAACATATTATAATATATTTTGATGAACAAACATATCATAAACACATCCTGATAAAAAAAAAAATCAGGATTATTTTATTTTTAAGAAATATACCCTTAACATTAAGTTTGTCTAAACAGTATGTCACTGACCTGTGGGTGGTCTTCCCGCTGTCTACTTCCTGTTGGAAGATTGCACATCCTAATCTGTGAGAACTCGTGATTTTGATCACATGACGTCACAATTTGTGTTAATCCTTCGTTTTATTGACTTTCATGTGTTTGAGGAAGACCTACACCCACTGGAGCTTAGGTGTCCCACATTAGGCTAATTCACCCTAATTGTCATGTGTCAGAATGAAATGTAATAAGTATAAAAGTTCAGTTAGAGGGTCTTATCTATGCCTAGTTCATACCTCTGTATAAGGGGGTCTTCATGAAATAACTCGGTCTCGGTTAGTGAACTAGCCTAATAGAAGTTCTTAGGGGGTGTAACATAAATCTCTTAGTCCTTGTTGATCTTGGTACTCTGACCCCTTTGAAGACGCATCTTGTTAAAAAAATAACAAAAGACATTTTGGGGTTTTAACTTCTTTGTTGAGGTAAGCACAGGAACAACACAACAGGATCCAATCATCCATCCATCATCTTCCTTGTATCTGAGGTCGGGTCGTAGTGGCAGCAGGAGCAGTAAATCCACCCAGACTTCCCTCTCCCCAGAAACGTTTTCCAGATCCTCCTGGGGTAAACTGAGGCGTTCCCAGGCTAGACGGGATATATAATCCCTCCAGTGAACTCTGGGTCCACCCCGGGGTCTCCTCCCAGTTGGGTGGGCCTGGAAAACCTCTAAAGGGAGGGGTCCAGGAGGATCCTGATCAGATGTTGAACCACCTCACCTGGATCCTTTCGATGCAAAGGAGCAACGGCTCTACTCCGAGCTGCCCCTGAATGTCTAAGCTCCTCCCCCTCTCTCTAAAGCTGAGAAACCCTCCAGAGGTAACTCGCTTCAGCCGCTTGTATCCTTGATCTTATTCTTTCAGTCTCTACTCAAAGCTCATGACCTCAGGTGAGGGGTTGGAATGGAGATCGAGCGGTAAATCCAGAGCTTTGCTTTCAGGCTCAGGATCCAATCAACCTCTCCGTAACAGATCATGCTTTTGTACTGCTGATTTCTCTAAAATTAAACATCTCTGAGGAGAGTTGGTTGAATGGACAAAACTCCTCCAAACCAAGCACACACGCAGAGTTCACACATATCTGTCACGTGCAGGAAACGGGCTACTGCCAAATCATATTCTAAAAACACAACAGAGAAGAAAGCTCATCATATTTAAAGCTTCAAAACACAAAATGTGTCACAATCCATGCTTACAAGTAAATCAGATCATCACATTAGAAGTAAAAGAAAAATGCAGCATTTAGCTTGAAGCTAAGGGCTAATATGGATTATCATTATTTAGTGTTTGTCATTTCTAGTGATTTTAAAACTGACATGAGTTATCTCTATTTGTGCTGCTTTGATTTGTCTTCACCCCACACAACATTAGCTTTCTAAAGTGCACTGAGTTTCACATATAAAGGCACATATGTTCCCTCCCCTTCACTTTACTACCAGTTTCAAGTTATATGGTTGAAAAGCAAACTACACAAAGCATCGTCAAACTTAATTCATTCAATATAAAGCAGAAACTTTCCTATGGAAACAATAAAGTAAAAGAGTAATTCATTCTTTTTGGAGCACGATGAGGTATTTAAACACATGTGTGTGTCTGTCTGTGTGTGATAACCGGTCTTTCATTGTCAGTAGCGTAAAGTGCACTCTGACTCACTGCTGCTGCTTTGTCTTCTCTTCTGCCCTCCACCGTCTGACTTCCAGCTTTGTTTCTTTGGAGCATTGGCGACCTCCAAACCTGTCTCCATGCCCAACACCTGCCTCTGCACCAGCTTATAATACAGTTCCCCATTCTCCATCAGCTGACTGTGACAACCCTGCTCAGCCACACGGCCCTTGTCGATCACAATGATGTTGTCTGCCTTCTCCACCGTGCTGAGCCGATGAGCAATCACCAGCACCGTGCACTCTTTCATGACTGCATTCAGAGCCTGCTGAACCTGCAGGAGAGAAGAACACAATGAGTCAACCCAACACACATTTCAAAGTCCTATACTGTAGAGTTCATGGTAGGACCATGTGACTGTACATCAGTTGGCTTTAGTAAATGTAGCTTTTCACTTACAGAGTGCTCACTTTCTGCATCCAGAGCACTGGTCGCCTCGTCAAGTATGAGGACGCGAGGATTACGGATGAGAGCTCTTGCAATGGCCACCCTTTGCTTCTGCCCCCCAGACAAGTGGGTTCCTTTCTCACCAACAACTGTGGAAGGACAAATCATTAAGCATCATGATGCATCATGATCAGTAATGTATGGCTGTTGATGTCACAGCAATGGTACCAAAGTGTAGGATAGCGCTCTTTATCTCAATGAATTTTCTGTAGTGACTTAATAAGAAGTTGGATCTAATGGGCCTTTAAAACATTTTGAGGGTACATTTGAAGTGTTTTTGAATACTTGACGATAGAGAGAAGGGAAGCAATGCAAACAAAGATCCCTATACAGTAGGTGAACGTTCATTTTACTCAAAAGCCGTACAGGCTGTAGGGGAAAGAAATACTTTATTATGTAATATATAAGCCTATATATTTTTTTAAATATAATCAACGAGTGAATAATGCATTAGTATGGATAAAGATTATGAATCACATCTAACCCAACCTTTACCGGCTGAAGAGTATATCTGCTCTGATGTGTTCTTCTCTTTGTGGAAACAGACATCACTATTAGAAAACACAGCATGGGGGTAGAATCCTCTTCTTATTTCAATAAAGAAAAGTGTATTTACGTGTCTCATAGCCCTTAGGGAAGGAGGTGATGAACTCATGAGCATTAGCTTTGATAGCAGCCTCCACTACAGCCTCCAAGGGGATGTCAGTCAGGCCATAGGTGATGTTCTCCTTCACTGTCCGGGCAAACAGCACAGGCTCCTGGCTCACGAGAGCTACCTGCAGAAAGAACAAGAAGGTCAACTCAAACAGTAGAGAAGAGTCCTGTGCATTTTAAATATCCAACGTAGGAAATGACTGAGAAACATACTTAAACATGTGTCTTTTAAATATTTATAGAAAATCACACAAATGAGGGATATGTAGCCGATATTAGCAGACAAGTTTCACAACCTCTCTTTCTGCCGGACTCAGGAAGGTGGATTAACATCTGACTTACTTTGTTTTACCAAGAAACAAAGGAACTTATCAATGATTTAAGTCTCCCTCTCAGACAGGCTCTGGAGGACAGGATATTATAAACTTTTACAACGCCTGGAGTAAACAACCAAGCGGAAACAGAACACTCTGCTATCTACGAATTGAACTGTGACCGAAACCAGTCTCTGCAAAGTCGTAAAATTGACCATCTGTGGAAATGCTGCTGAAGAACTGAATTAAACCACAGCGTTAAATTCTGCATCAAATGAACATTTATGTCTTTCTTCATCTAGATATTTGTAATTGTCACATTGAATGTATTATAATCATCTTTTTAAACTCAAAATCTGATCTTCAGAATAGGAATAAGAGTTATATTATGTTTAATAGGAATTTGATGGGGAGCGTGTGTTTGTCTAAACATATGACGTGAACCTACATCAATGTGGATCTGATAGAAATAATATTGAAATGAATGTGTGGTGACGTATATATGTTTAGATTCTTATTCTTAAATCTTATTGAGTAAACTCGGTTTAGTTTAAACAATTGTCCTCCGGTCAGAATGGGAGTCACCCTTCTCCTGCAGGGCCCCACCCATCTCTCCTGCAGCTGATAAGAGTTCACACTCAGCTCAGATCTCCAGTTTAGTTTTAAGGTTTTAGAGCTTTTTGCTTCTTGCTCGCTTCTCTTCGGACTTTAGTTCGAATCACTTCTGCGGGACCAGTCGGCGGAGTTCAATTGAACACATCTCACAGTAAGAGTGTTTGTTGCAAGGGGGTGTTGGAAGATTAAGTCTTGAGTCGTGTCTATTCAGAGCCCTCCTTTAAATCCAAATAGAATCCCGAAATTAATTTATCAACTTTTTCCTTTATGACCATTTTCTGATTAAGTCATTCAAACAATACCGCATCTTATCTCATTACTAAATATATAATGTTACCATACATTATAATTACATTATCCTGATCATAATAATCATATTCTTTATCTGTTTCATCTATACCTTATTGTTTATTCCTTTTTATATTAAATTTTACACATAAAATTCAGAACTTTGTCTGTGTGTTTTCTGGTTTAACATTTGTAGAATTTACTTCTTTCAAGACCCTAACTGACTGATTAATGAATTAACTTATACAGTTAAAGTTAATTTCTTCCTATAATGGGAAGTGGTGCCCTGAATTAAATAAAGATATAATGTCTTAATAAATTAAAATAAGAAGTAGAATTACGCTACAGATAGGACCAGTCTTGACCATCAACCGTTGATCAAAGTGCCTGATAGGACTGACCTTGGAGTGGAGATAGTCATGCTGTAAAATGTGAACAGGCTCTCCATCCAGCAGCACTTGGCCTTCCTGAGGAGGGTAGAAGTTTTCCAGGAGACTTACACAGGAACTTTTTCCACTGCCAGAAGGTCCCACAAGGGCTGTGACCTCGCCTGGCCGCAGAGTAAATGACACTTCCTGTAACACACATCAACCCAGGAAATTATTGAATTTACATACAAATGTACTGCTATGAAAAGTTACATTAAATTCAGCATTTATTAAATATGATATCAGTAGTGAATGAATGGGAGGGGCATTGCAAATATAAATAAACAAGATGTATACATGTGACCTGAACTCTGCCTCCGGGACTCTAACTGATCAGTTCCACTTAATTAAGAATTTTAACCCTCTTGCATCATTATGGACATTTTTGTCCATTTGGTCAAATGTTTCCTCTTCATCTGGCCATCATTTTGTCTGTGTTAGTGCATATGGCACCCACCATTTTGGAATGCTTTTACTACCCTCTTAAGTCACTAAGAACAAACATGTCCACTTCCAAAAAACTGATATAAAAATGGAACAGATTGATATTTTTTTCTACTTTTTTCTGCATAAATCTCTTAAACAACTCCAGCCCTGCTCAAAACTATCAAATACTGAAGAATTATCTGGAATTTAACCCTTTAAATGCCAGTTTGATTACTTGATGTCATTGTTGTTATTTAAGAAAAAAAACACAAAAATGAGTTATTTTCCATAAAACAAATATTTGGTGGCTGGGGGATTTTTTTTAAAATCTCTTGGATATGTCAAATATTATCCAAAATATTGACTTTGATGCATTGTTAATTTTTGTGGAGCATCAGATTTAAAATGTAGTTCCCTGTTTGGACATTGGAGGGCAAAAATGTCCAGTTTACAAATACTGCTATAAAAATAGAACAGATTGATATTTTTTTCTACTTTTTTTGCATAAATCTTTTAAACAACTCCAGCCCTGCTCAAAATATCAAATATTGAGTAATTATCAGGACTTTAACCCTTTAAATGCCAGTTTGATTACATGATTTTGGCATTTAAAGGGTTAAATTCCTGATAATTATTCAATATTTGATCATTTTGAGCAGGGCTGGAGTTGTTTAAGAGATTCATGCAAAAAAAAAGTAGAAAGAAATATCAATCTGTTCTATTTTTATATCAGTTTTTTGGCATGGACATTTTTGTCCTTAGTGACTTCAGAGGGTCGTAAATTAAGCTGATGCCTGAGGGTTAAAACAGTCATCAACACAGTTACATCCTTCTTAACAAACCTTGAGAATTTCAGTTTCCGGGCGTGTTGGGTAGGCAAATGTGATGTTTTTAAACTCCACCAGACCCGTGTATGTGTCTGGAGCCTCTGTGCCATCAGCTGGGTGTTTAGGTGTTCTATCCAGGTATTCAAAAACCTTCTCAGCTGCTCCCACTCCTTGCATCAGTCCCGTGTAAACAGATGCAATATTCTGTCAGACAGAACCAGGAGATATTTGTTAAGGAGGGTTACGATCTTGTGTTTTCATAGTTAATAATAAAACTAGTGAAATACCTCAAGACATTCTCCCAAGTCCAGCATATATATGAAGAATGATATCAAGGCACCACTACTCATCTGACCCGTTACTACAAGGTGACCGCCATAATAGAGAATAGCAACCTCTAAAGCCAGCTCTGAGATCTGAAACACACAGGTAATGACTTCAAAACATTTCTTTGAAAAGATCCAAATTCTATCTTTCCATATATACTGGAAGGAGCTGCTGGTACCTACACAGCTGGACCACATGTAGCAGGAGTAGGCCAGGGCTTGTTTCTTGTTGAGCTGGAACATTACTAATAGCTTGCTGTAGTAGTTGTTGGCCTCCTCGCTCTCGTTGGCAAAGCTTCTCACCGTCCTCATGGAGGAAATGGTTTCTTCTGCCACCTTGTTGGCTTCTGCGAGGGTTGTCTGCACCTCTTTGGTCAATTTCTAAAATACCAAGAAGAAGTTATTACACATCTGTCTGCTAGTTGAATGATCAACAGGGGCACAGCAGTAGTTTACCTTGTAGTATTTTCCATACAGTTTGGAGATGAGAGCGATGAAGGGGAATCCCATGACGGTCACCAGTGTGAGCTTCCAGGACATCCCAAACATGAAGATGAAGAAGCCGGCGCCCTTGATGGTGCTCCGCAGAAAGATGTTGACATTTACTGAGATGAGGTCACTCACCTGGGTGGTGTCAGCCGACAGACGAGAAATGATGTCACCTACAGGAAGGTCATGATATTAGAAAAACTTGTTATGTAAATGAAGGAAGTTATTTCACAGCTGAAGGATGGATGATAAGTGTTTGTATGTCACCTGTATGGTTTTCATCAAAGAAGGCGATTTCCTGCCTCATCAAATGAAGATCATATTCCCACACACACACACACACACACACACACACAACACACACACACACACACACACACACACACACACACACACACACACACACACACACACACACAACACACACACACACACACACACACCCACACCACACACACACACACACACACACACACACACACACACACACACACACACACACACACACACACACACACACACACACACACACACACACACACACACACACACACACACACACCACACACACACACACCACACACACACACACACACACACACACACACACACACACACACACTCTCTCTCACCTGGCCAGAGCCAGTATAGACACTGTGATCACAGGTTTAGCAAAGTGCTCCATGCTCTTGTCCACCACGATGCTGTCGATTGCTTTCCCGTAGTAGTACGGTATAAAGGCTTCACCTGCACAGTGAAGACAGACAACATTACTATAAGTTTGACTTCTGATTTTATTTAATAAGCTTTCCTAAACATGAGGAATTCACTAAGATGAGATAAACCTTTATTGATCCTCAGAGGGGAAATTCGAGGATAAGAAGAAGTGAATTAAACTACAGCTGTCATATGTCAACAAAACACAAATATTAAATTATTATGAATAACAAACATAAAAGTATCTTGGAGATTCTCCTGGTAACAACTGGCTGCTTTTCTTAGTTTTACGTGAGAATTTCGGTGTTTTGAGTATTTTTAAATGAAAATAAAAACATTCTGAAAGGACCATAAAGAGGCACTCCACTTTCTGACATCTTGTCAATCAAATTATTAATTGAGCCAATCATTGGCAGGTTAATGAACTAAACGTATAAAGTCCACACAAAAGGCAGTTGCTATTTTATTATAAATCTGTACCGGTATATTTTATTTAGACATGTCTATTGCTGCTACTGTGTACAGTATATTATTTGTATATAACTTGTGTTTTTTGTATCTGTGTGCTGTTCTATCCTTTGGTGCTACCTGATGCTGGAATCTGAATTTCCTGAGGGAACCTTCCCACGGGATTAATAAAGTTCCTATCTATCTATCTATCTATCTATCTATCTATGACACATACTGTAAGTGTTGCCCTCTTTTAAAGCAGGAAAGATGAGTATGTGCTACATGGAGGACACTCACACACAGCAGAGATGAGGAGAAAGAGGACAGCTACAGACAGCAGACCACCGTCCTTCCTGCAGTATGCCAGCAGACGTCCTAATGTTGCCTCAGTGCTGATCTTCTCCTTCTCCTTCTCCTCCTCCTCACCATCTGCCTCCACAAGCTTCTCTGTGTCCTCAGAGCCTCCTTCACCTCCCTTGTTGCACATGTTGTGATGGCTTGCTGAGTTTGACTCCGCCCCCAGCAGCCTCCACAGCAGCATGACGCCCAGACAGGAGGCACACGTCCAACAAACGAGGCTCAGGAACCAGGGCTGATGCTCCAGAGGACCCAGCTCGTTCAGCATCAGCAGCTTGGCCAACGTATAAGTGATGACGACGAGACAGATGAAGAGAACCAGGGTGGTGAGTTTGGCTACCCTCAATGGGCCGTCTCTTCTATTCAACGAGACCCCCAAAGAGGCTCCTAACAGAATGGAGGATCTCATCAGTGCAGTCCCCCAAAGGTCCAGTGTTGACAGAAGGATGTTAAAGTTCTGTGCATCTTCTTTGAAGACACTCAGGTGTGAGCCATGTGTGTACAGGACAGTGGTGACACACACATCCAGCAGAGTATACAACACTGTGCAACTCACAGCTACTTTCAGGCCCATGCTGACAAACAAAAGATCAATTGAGTTATAATTTGTACCGAACGGACCCTTTATAACACATTTCATTAAAGTGGTGAGCAGCTAGATTATATAGGAAATATGAATATAGGAAATATATGGGAATATAGGAAATATAGGAAATATATGGAATATAGGAAATCTGGTGAAAAACTTGAATCAGGCTTACATTTAGTACACTTTACATGCAGAAAATCCATTCAAAAATTGTCATGGCAGCCAGTTAAGATAATCAAGTTTTTTTTCTCAGTTTGTACTGTGGTCTATATGCTACAGTCTGTCTACATGGATTATAGCTGCAGACATAAATGATGAGTAGTTCTGCCACACGAGTAGGCTATTGTTTAAAAGACTTTAAATGATCGACCAGCAACAAGGCGACAACAGGCTGATTCTACAATGCGTCTAGCTAGCTGTGTTTGTTCAGCTGAAATAAAATACATGGTAGAAGAAATCTGGTCATCGGTGAGCCACTCTAACCTTGTCCCGAAGCTACGCGGGGTTAGAGATCTTCAGAACAACGAGTGGTCTTTCACCGCCAAACAACTCAACCCTAAGCAGGTTAAGTCTTATGACTCGGTACCTCTTGTCCTTTACAGCTGTGTCTCATTGAGGGGGGGGGGGGGAAGCACCCTTCGAAAGACCCAGCAGCCTTTCAAATCTGGCCGGACCGGTTGACATAAGATTCCGCGTTTGCGTCACTAACTGCGCCCGCCTCTTACCCTTTCCTTACCGCCCCCTGTCGCCTAGCAACCTTAACAGCTGCACCGGAACCTGACCGGAACAACCTAACATAATGTCAAGTATTTGCAGTTTATGGTCACGTTTCCTATCACTCTGTTGTTAAGTTCAAAGTGTTAAAGACACTTTTGTTTTATTTAACATTAGAACTGGTCGCTAGTTTACTGAGTTAAGACAAAGTACTTACATTTGAAATCGTTTAACTCGGCGGGGACAGGGACACTCCCAGCGTACCTCGCTGACTTGTGCTGCATTCAAATGCTGCCCGGTGCTCCGAATTTCCGGGTAGGGACGTCGTTTTTCCGACTTCAGTGTGTTCATTTGATTTCAGTGCGTAAAGTCTGAATGTTGTAACAATAGCAAAAAAAAACGTTGATGCTACGAAGAAAAAGATCAGTGAAATTTACATTTTTAAAGTTAAATTTGAGCAACAAGTTGATGTGCAATACGTGAATTAATACGAAGTATGTTAACATTAACATAACATATTTTGCCCCCCCCCCTCATTTAATGACGGTTCTGACGTGAAGTCGGGCACCTAATTCTTTTCTGAGTTGTTGTTCCGACTTGAGCAGGTGTTCATGTGCATTTCACAACTAGGAAACTCTTTTTTCCGATGTGTCCGACACCACTTGACTGCATCAAAATATACGTTGTATGGCTCCTCCCACCAGGTGAGTTTAGAAAACGTGGTCAGGATTTCTCCGTTAAAAAGAGATAACAATGCTATGCTAACTATGTACCTTTTTTTCCACAATCTGATAATTTAACACAGGTTAATAAAGTCAAAACGATTATCACTGTTATAAAATAGTTTACAATAAACTCACAATTGTACATTTTAGTTTGTTTCTCTATGAAATTCAAAACAATGATTAAAGAAGATGATTGGGTGAAAAGGTTTCTGTAGGATTAAGAAGAGGGAAATGCATTTGTTGGTCTAGAAATTGGGAATGTAATGGAGCAAGCAAACTGACACATTAACTTACAAATCCACCTCACTTTGTCTGATGAAGGTCTAGCACTGAGACATTGCGAATGGTGGTATTTTAACACCTTGTCAAGCTTGAATCTTTTTTTTTAAGTTAATGAACACATTTAAATAATTTGCATCAGTTATCTTAAGAAGTGGTGTTAACCACCAGGGTCACTGCAGGAACAGGAGGAAAACACAGCAGTTCATGTGGGTCACTGTCAACTGCCTTTTCTTCTGACAGATGGTTGAACTGATGCTTGTAATATTTATTCCAACAATAACTTCAATAAAAAGCAGGTTCCCATCTCCAGCCTTTGCCATCAGGCAGATCATGCTCCTCTGTGGGTTCTTCAGTCGTTCCACATCGTCCTGCTCAGTGGGCTTCAGACTCTCTTAAGTGAAACACTAACTCATTCTTCATGTGTTCGGAGCTCTGCTCAGTGGCCAGCACTGTCTCAACAGGAAAAGACAAATACAAACTATCTTTTGATTTTTTGGGAGAGGGTGAATCTCCTGCACAAAAGAGAGGATCTTGGATTTTAAAGTTCATGGAAGGGGTGCGTGTCCTGCGTTTGGTGTTCCTCTTCTTGTCTTGTTTGTAAGATGCATTCATATTGGCTATAACCTGGAAGAAGAGCAAATATATATTCAGACACATCAGAAGGAATGATGAAAAAATAAAAGACATAAAATACTAAATATCTGTTTGAACACCTTTAAAAACACATTATAGTGTTCAAAATGTGATCTGTGAAGATCTGTGAAGAGTTCTGTACCCTGATGGGGAATCATAAAATACTCACAAATGAACGTTTAGTGGAACTAGTTTCACTTGAATGAGTTATCGGTTCCAGATCAGCTGATTTGAGTTTGTTAAATCAACTCTGAGTAGACTCACTGTGTTCAGTGCGCACGCTCCACAACCTTATTTTAAATCATATTTGATTTGGTGTGTAATCTAGCACTCTGTGTCTGATGCTTGGTGTGTAATCTAGCACTCTGTGTCTGATGAACACATTTAAATAATTGTGTGTGTAATCTGTACTCTGTGTCTGATGCTTGATGTGTAATCTAGCACTCTGTGTTTGATGCTTGATGTGTAATCTAGCACTCTGTGTTTGATGCTTGGTGTGTAATCTAGCACTCTGTGTCTGATGCTTGATGTGTAATCTAGCACTCTGTGTCTGATGCTTGGTGTGTAATCTAGCACTCTGTGTCTGATGCTTGGTGTGTAATCTAGCACTCTGTGTCTGATGCTTGATGTGTAATCTAGCACTCTGTGTCTGATGCTTGATGTGTAATCTAGCACTCTGTGTTTGATGCTTGGTGTGTAATCCAGTACTCTGCCCACGCAGTGTGATGGATGTGTCAGAGATAAAATAACGTGGTTGAACGTGGTTCAAAGGCTATTGTCATAACAGGTTATATAAACTTGATATCATAAATAACAGCTCTGTTGATCGAGCTCCAAGCTGCTGTTTAATATGTCATACAAGGAAAGAAATATTGGCCAACATAAAAGTAGCTCTAAGAAAGTAGTTGGACATCAATATTTCAGTTTCTCAATTTTATCAAATCAGTCATATTTGTGTTTAATTACCCAACTGTTGAGTGAATGATTGAAATGCAGATTGAAATACACTGATAGAATAGATCAGGTACACAGATGATTCAGATAGTCAGCTCATAGTCTGTGCCACGTCGTGGATCTAGCTTTTGTTCCGCCCCTTTTGGGAGACTAAAGGCAGGGCGGTAGACTTCTCATTCAAAAGGGAGGAGTGAATTCAAGCACAGATTATGACAGATTCTCTCACCACATCGTCATTTAAGACAACTCTGGACCAACTTTTTCACAAGACACTTTGTTAAATAAAGATATTATAGATCATTATTTTAACTCCACTGGTCCACCATTGCAATTTATTTTGTGTATACTTATATTTCCTTTTTTTTTTAATATTATGCAAAAAGAATGACCTACACAATAAGTTGAACAAAAAGAACTACAGAAAACTCAGAGCAGTAAAGTCCAAAGTCTTGTGACCTACAAAGCCTTATGGTCCAAAAGAAGGATGGATTGGTGCTCTGTTCAGGACATTGACCTCTCCATGGAGACATGTATTTTTTGTGTGCCTATGTGATAGTAACAGAAAACTCCAAACCACAAGTTTAGCTAGCTTTAGACCTTAACAGAACAATTTGAGAGTATCCCACAAACAAGAAGAAGCTTGACTAGCAGCATCTGTTCCCAGTCTCAATATGAATTACCAGTTGCTTCACAGAATTCTTCGGCTCCTGCGTTGAGATCTTGTCCTTCGGGGAGGACTTTTCCTTCTGTTGGTCCTCATAATTCAGCAGGCTTGATCTGGTCTAGAGGAAAGAAATGACATAAGTAGGTGATTTCATGTCTTGTGGATTGAAAAGGATTATGATCAAGTCCTACCTCATGAGTTAAATTAACGGTCCTGTTGAACATGAGGGAGTAAGGGCTGAACTTGGTCGTAGGATTAGAAGACATCCTAAACACAAACTGCACATGGTCGAGGAAATCGTCCCATTGGGTCTGTTTCTCTGAAACCATCTGCACAATGGCTTCCTTTAACAAAGGACTGGTGCAGTCGTGGAGGGGGTTCAGCTGAGGTTGTTCCAGAGGTGAAACCTTCTGCACAATGCTCCACTTTTCAAACAGCAGCTTTGTGACCTGAAAAGGCCCCAACATTAAGTATTGATCAAAAATGATCCAAGAGAAGGCTTTAATCATGTTGATCTGTTCATCTCACCTCATCACAGAAATGTGCATTCTGCATGCAGACTATCGTCTTAGGGGCTCCAAACCTGATCCAACAGAGAGCAGAAACACTTCAATCTCAAGGTACTAACAATGATAACACCAAAGTCAAATCTAATGACAATACAAGCATGGTGATGATAGACTTCAAGAGTGATTTAACCCTCATGCATCATTATGGACATTTTTGTCCATTTGGTCAAATGTTTCCTCTTCATCTGGTCATCATTTTGTCTGTGTTAGTGCATATGGAACACATTTTTGTAAGAAAGTCTCTCGCTTGACAAATTTTGGAATGCACTTTTTTTTTTTTTTTTTAATAGATCAATAGAACTCTGAGAAACATGTTTACTACCCACAACAATGTCCACTTATTATCAGGAATTTAACCCTTTAAATGCCAGAATCATGTAATCAAACTAGCATTTAAAGGGTTAAATTCCTAAAAATGATTGAATGTTTGGTAGTTTTGAGCAGGGCTGGAGTTGTTTAAGAGATTTATGCAGAATTAAAAAAAAAAATATATCAATCTGTTCTATTTTTATATCAGTTTTTGTAAATTGGACATTTTCGCCCTCCAATGTCCAAGCAGGGAACTACATTTTAAATCTGATGCTACACAAAAACTAACAATGCATCAAAGTCAATATTTTGGATAATCTTTGACATATCCAAGAGTGATTTAAAAAAAATCCCCCCAGCCACCAAATATTTGTTTTATGGAAAATAACTCATTTTTGTGTTTTTTTTCTTAAATAACAACAATCAAGTAATCAAACTGGCATTTAAAGGGTTAAATTCCTCAAACTGATTGAATATTTAATAGTTTTGAGCAGGGCTGAAGTTGTTTAAGAGATTTATGCAGAAATAAGTAGAAAAAACATCAATCTGTTCTATTTTTATCAGTTTTTTTGTAAGTGGACATTTTTGTCCTTAGTGACTTAAGAGGCTCGTAAATTAAACTGATGCCTGAGGGTTAAAGAAAGAGATTGATTTTGATGAGCACATTCTGTCAAAAGCACAAATCATTCTGCTTTAGACACAAAAACAGCCTCATGCAGCAGCAGAGCACTAAATACTACACTGGGAAACAACTTCTAAATACACTAGTTATGCTGCTGGTTTAGTTCAACATGAATAATACTATATTAAACATGCAAAATCCTTTCACCTGTATATGCATGTAGAAATACACCTCGCAACAGAGAGCACATCCATCTTTTGTACTGGAAAAGCTTCTGGCCATTTAGTAAAGTAATCGATGACGACTATAGCACTGGCGTTTCCTCGTTGGGTTACTGGAAAAGGCCCTTGTAACAAAAAGAAGAAGCGGGTCTTAAAGTGTGAAAATTATACTGCAGAAAATATGTTATGTGATGATTTGAATAGAGGCCAAACCTATGAAATCAATCCCAAGAATCTCCCACGGTGCATCCACTTTGATAGGCCGGACAGTCCTTGCCAGGATCTTATTTCTCTCTGTGTGTTGACATGTTTCACACAATTTTATCTGAAACAGAAACGTTTCAACTTAATGTTTTTGTTACATCCCAGTAATGTCCAAACTCTGAATAAATAAAGATGTCAATACCCAGTCCACTACATCCCTGATGATGCCCAGCCAGTAGTATTTGCTCTGGATCCTATGGACGGTCTTCTTCTGGCCCAGGTGATGTCCCATTTCATCAAAGTGGCAGTCGAGAAAGATCTGCCTCTTCCTCTCAGCCTCTATCACGACCTCCCTCTTGATTTCATTCTTTGATCCCACATAGTACAGCTTGCTCTCTTAAAAACAAAGGGGACATGTTGTGTAACAGTATTTTGATTATTAGACATTTAAGACTGACAACACAGAGAACATCACACTTAATTCAATGAAACAGTTTTTTTTATTCATGCTCACTTATCTGAAACTTAATCAGGATGCTAAGAAAAAAGAAAACACTTGAGTTCATTACTTCAACAGGCAAGACGCTGTTGACTACGATACAATGGTTTGAAATAAGGATAGGAGAATATTATTTAATATTAATATATTAATATTAATATTTATCCCCAGAGGGTAAATATCGGGCGTTGCAGCAGCACAAAGACAAGTAGAAAAGATCATACAAAATCAAAAATGTAAACACAATAGATAATATAAATATAGATACAAATAGGAGGGATAACATGTACTATATAAATAGTGATGTTATCAGATCAATCAGACACTGTGCAGTGATAAAGTGACAAGTGATGGTTAAATGACCTGGTTTATAGCAGCATGTTCCGTAAACAGCAGTATTGTATCAGTGTAATGAAGAGTGCAGTTAAATAATGATAATATGAAATAAACACTCACCATCAGTGATAAACTTCCGAGCGTATCGCTTGAGATTCTTCTTCCGTAAAGGATTCATCGTCTGAGGAAAGGAGCCTTTAGTCACAAAAGTGTAAATGTCAAAGAGTTTATTGGAGCTGGAATCAACCACCTCCTCCTCAGCTACCTGCAGCGACTCCATGCTCACCAACCCCCCGACACGCTACAAGCTAAGCTAACAGCGACCTAACACTTACGTAAACATACTTATGCTCGCTGATATTCCGCACATTGAACGGAAAACCCCCCAAAACTAAATAATAACAAAGGCACAAAGAGTTAACTTGAGTTTTCTTTAAGAAGGTTCTTCTTCTTCTTCGTCGCCTTTTTCTTCTTCTTTGGTGTTTACTGGTGGAACGCTAACGAGTTTTAAGGAGCACTACCGCCACTAACTGGACAGGAGTATGGAGCAAGAAAGACATAATAATAACAATAATAATAATAGAGAAGCGCTCCATATGATTTTAACCAAATTACTATCTTTTAAAAGCCATCCATCTCACTGTATATTCTGTCTAAACCTGAGAGAAGTAGTCCCAGTTCTGTTTCTGTGTCGTCACCATGTAAGTCCTTTTGCCCATGAACACCTCTGGGTTAACCACTCCACATCCCGTACACAAATGTTTTAGCGCACTTAACTATTGTCATGTTGATTTGGCTGCTTTTTTTAAATCTTCGTAAAATGATTAGATGGTTATAACCAGTGTTGAACTTGAAATGCTGACTTTTATTTTGACGTTTACGAACCGGATGTGAAACACCATGCATTTGTGCCAACCTTCTGGTGTAATGTTTAGCGAACAATATAACTTCAACCGGTTTGAAATGACGGACGAAGAACACAGAGATGTTCAGTTTTGGACGTGTGATTGTTTCACTGAAGATAATATTTTTCTAAAGGACTACAAGCTCCATGTTAACTTTGTATCCGAGGTGCAGTTCAGATTGGACTATGAAGCTGTGAGTTTATATATTACTAAAACTATAAACAAAGGAAGTGTCTTCAATGAAATAAACGACGTGTATTTGTTTGTTTACATCTGCTATGCAGATACTCAGGAGGCTGGGCTGCGTTAAGGAGCAACAGTTTAAGGACGTGCTCAACGAGGTAACAAAGTTATTCTATATATCTCTCTCTATATCTATCTATCTGTCTAACTATCTCTGTCTCTATCTCTCTCTGTCTCTCTATCTGTCTCTATCTCTCTCTATCTGTCTAACTCACCCACTCTCCCTTTCTCCCTCTCTCTCTCTTTCTATCTAACTCACTCTATATATATATATCTATCTGTCTAACTCTATCTGTCTCTATCTCTCTCTATCTGTCTAACTCACCCACTCTCTCTCTCTTTCTATCTGTCTAACTCACTCACTCACTCACTCACTCACTCACTCACTCACTCACTCTCTCTCTCTCTCCCTCACTCTCACTCACTCTCTCTCTCTCTCCCTCACTCTCACTCACTCACTCTCTCTCTCCCTCACTCTCACTCTCACTCACTCTCCCTCTCTCTCTCTCCCTCACTCTCACTCACTCTGTCTGTCTAACTCACTCACTCTCTATCTTTCCCTCTCTGAGTTCTTCACGTCTCTTTTTAGATTTCACAGGAAGTGGACAGGCGAAGACATCTGAGCGAGACGTCTGTGAGGAGAGCTGCTGCTATAAAAGATGAGTACCAGCCTCTCCATCCTCATGTCTACCACCTGCAGGTATGCACTTCACCAGTCACTGCACATTTGAACTTTGAACTCATGTCATTCAAACTCTGCTCTGACATAACTGCCCACATCCTCTCCTCAGGAGTCCTACCTTGCACCAAAGTTCAAACAGATTGTTGAGTACTGTCGCAGCGTGGACACGAGTATAGAAGGTCTCCTAGACCTGGTAGTGGAGGAGGCAGGTGAGCTGGAAAGTGCTCTCCTTTTAGAATCAGAATCAGAATCTGGGTTTATTGCCAAGTACATTGACACATAAAAGGAATTTGACTTGGTGTATTGGTGCTAAACAATTAACAAGGAAATAAAGCAGAACTAGCAGCAACTTAAATAATACAGAATAAGAAGATATTACAATATATAAAATATAAAAAATATATAAAATCTACAAAAGGTGCAATGTAGGAGATGTGGACTATGAGAAAAAATCTTAGTGAGAAAAAAATCTTATTGACTCAGTGACTAAGGTTCACATGAGAAGTGAAAACTCACTTTCAATAGAAAGAGTTGACTAACTTTGGTCCAGTCACAGCAGATACAAAAAAACACCTTCAAATCCTCATTAAAAAAATCTATTAAAGGTTTAGTTTGCTGTGCTGTATACAATAACTAAACTCTTTATTTTGAGCTCGTTTCATGAGACTACATACAGGTCTCTATATGTGGTTCACTTACTTTCAGCACTGCATCCATGTGATGTTTCTCTCATGCTGCTTCCATTGTTGAGGACTCTTCAGATCATTTCCTCGGTTGTCTCTGGGTCATGAAACTCCAATAATTAGTGTGAAATGTCCCTGACAGCATTCCAAACCTCCACCCTGACCTACAAGAGTTAGTACTTTCCTTTCACCACAGACATTGGAAGTATATGTTGATATCTGGGCAGCAAATAAGAGAGAGGGTGCTTGTTCATGAAAGTTTCATTTTGGATAAAAGGTTATTTTTAAGACTTCTGATATGAAGCAGTTATTGTGACCTCAGACATGTACTTGTCATAGATTTGTGTTGTGCTTTATTTATATGTATGTATTTATTATGTGTGTTTGATTAATTTAATGATGTAGGACATGCCTCATTAAGCATTTTATCTCCTCTTTCTGTTGAAGCAACAAGAGTGTATCGTTTCCCCGTGTTTGAAAAAGGCTTCTGTGAGGAGCTGCTGGAGGAGCTGGAGCACTTTGAGCAGTCTTCTTCCCCTAAAGGACGACCTAACACCATGAATCAATACGGGGTAATGTATCTGTTCTCACCATCAGTCATGAACTATGTGGATCTGAATATAGAAGGTGTTTATAAGAGGACTGTCACAGACACTGTAAGAATTAAAGAGCAATTCAGGGCTCACAATGTCAGGCATTGAATACATGAAGAGGAAATAAACCTTTCTTTGCAAGCAATAAGCCTTTGAGCTCGACCTTGAAGTAGGACAAACATTAGCAAGATTCATGTTAAAGCCACTTTAAAGGCAGAATATGTCCCACTGTCTGTGATGTTTTCAGAGTTTTCAGAGTCCTATCTTCAGTTTGTTTACATCGACAGGACAGCCAGCTGACTCCTCCTCTCGTGTATAAAAGTTGTTTAATTGAGGGACTAGAGAAAAGAAGAATAACATACTGTACTCACTGCTTAACTGTGTTTCTAGATCACACTCATTTCAGGTAAATTTACATGCAGTGTGAAGATACCAGCATAATAAAGATCGCTAGCATTAGCATGCTAACACAACAATGCAGCGCAAGTTGTTTTGGATTCATGCTGGTGTTCAAGGGCAACATCTGCTGGATCAAAAAAATCACATATAAAGCCTTTAAGAGCCCTTAAATTGTGACTGCACATGATGTCAGAAAAGGAAACAGGAGGGTTTCAAACAGTAACTTCATTCACAATGTCCTTCTCTTTTTCATTTCTCATCAGATCCTCCTTAATGAGATGGGCTTTGATAAAGACTTCATCACACCCTTCCGTGAGCACTACATGAGTCCACTGACCTCCCTGCTGTACCCAGACTGTGGGGGGCGCTGTCTGGACAGCCACAAGGCCTTTGCTGTGAAGTATGACCTGAATGAAGACCTGGACCTGAGCTATCACTATGACAACGCGGAGGTCACGCTCAATGTTTCCCTTGGAAAGGACTTCACTGAGGGAAACCTTTATTTTGGGGATATGAGACAGGTGAGCATAGGGGGAGAATATTATTATGAGTCAGCATACAGTTAACATGATTGACAACGCGCGCACACACACACACACACACTGAATACTTTTTGTATTATTGAGAAACAATGTAACATTAAGCATGTTGAATTATAATCTCTCAAACCTACTTTTTTTACTCTTTAACTTTCAGGAAGGTCTATTGTTGTAGAAATAAACCTTTTATGTTACTTGAAAAGCAAATACACTTGACGATATGAATTGTTTTAAGACATGATCATTTCAATTTTAGAAACAAATATTTCATGTACCACCTGACTGATGCTGAGATCACTTGTGATGATCCACGTGTGTCCTTGGATGGTTAAACAAGTTATCAGGGTGACTCCATTTCCATGATGAGAAGAACAATCTTTACGATAAACACTTGCTGAGAGAATCATCCACAGTAGTAATTTGGACCAAATGATTCATGTTAAATCAATGTTAATTCCATCTCATAAATGCTACATCATGGTTTGAACGCCTCCTGCAGGTGCCTTTGGGTGAGACGGAGTGTTCAGAGGTGAAACACGTGGTGACCGAGGGCCTCCTCCATCGGGGCCAACACATGCACGGAGCCCTCCCCATCTCCTCTGGTCAGCGCTGGAACCTGATCATCTGGATGAGAGCCTCGCAGGAACGCAACAAACTGTGCCCGATGTGCAACAGGAGGCCGACTTTAGTGGAAGGGGACGGCTTTGCTGACGGGTTCACCAAACAAAAGTTAAAACCTTAATGTGTCTGCTCGCTGTCAGTGCTTTTGTTTTGCCATTCTCTGTTGGATTTAAAGCCAGCCAGCCTGGGGTCCTCAGATAGTGTCTGACAGCCGGGCATGTTACATTACAAATATATTTGAAAATCAATGACTGAAGCAGTTAGAATAATCAGTGCTAGAACTGTAGAAAGATGTCATTGAATTGTATTTAACCAAAATCTATTTTGTATTTACTTTTTTTAACTGATGAGGTTACAAAAAAAAAAAGAATGAACCTTGAATACTAACTTTAGTGTCAGTTAACAAGAGTCCTCTTTTGAAATCGTCCATTCTCTTCAGACTTTGTGATGGGTTTTTAAGTCAATCAACCTTTTCTATTTTCCATAGCAGATTGTACTAGTCCAAACTGAGTGGATTGGGGGGTCCTCCTTACACTGCTTTCTTATAATATGGTACTTTCATATTTATGACACAATTGTCTAAAAACAAAGTCCCTGTCTATTGGTTTAGTATGTTTGTACTGTAGTTTTGTGTCACAGATATGCAATAAACCTTTCATTAACAAATACAACATTAAAAATCAGGACACTTTTTATTCTGAGTACCACTCTCATACCTGTGCTGTTTTCCTCATACAGTTTGTGTGGTTATTATAAAAGGTAACATGTAGACGATTTGACCCATAGTAGAAAAAAAAAAGATATTTGGATGAATGGAAACTCATGAATGTTTCGTTTGTATCACAGAGACTAACTATAACTGTCCCTAATGGCATCTAGCACCACTGTTAGGAATCTAGGAGTTCAATATGTTGTTTACACATAAAAACACATTTCAAGAACAGCCTATTTTCAGCTTCAAATTATATCTAAAATCAGGCATATCCTGTCGCAAACAATGTACGACCTGTTTTGCATTTGTTTCCTCCAGGTTGAATTATTGTAATTCTCTTTTGTCAGGGTGCTCTGGTAAGTCTCTAAAGACTCTTCAACTGGTCCAGAACGCTGCAGCTCGTGTACTGACTAGAACGAGGAAAAGGGACCACATTACTCCTGTGTTGGCTTCTCTGCACTGGCTCCCTATACAATCTAGAATAGAATTTAAGATCCTTCTTCTCACTTACAAAGCTGTGGTGCCTATTCCAAAGATCACTAGTCCGAGGCAACTAAATCATTTTAGACTGGTTGCACTTACCTCATTAATTATGAAGACCTTTGAAGAAATGGTAAAGAACCTTGTTCTCTCAACAGTGGAGGGTAACCTTGATCCACTTCAGTTTGCCTACCAGGCAGGGAGAGGTGTGGAGGATGCAACACTTCTTATCTTGAATAGTTTGTAGAAACATTTAGAAAAGCCACAAGCTCACGCTCGGCTCTTGTTTGCTGATTTTTTATCAGCTTTTAATAGAAAGAATCATCTGTGATTTTAAACTGCCTCGTCAGCTTGTTCTGTGGATTATGGACTTTCTGACCGACAGAACTCAGAGGGTGTCTGTAAATGACCATTTATCAGACTCCTTAACCATTTCCACTTGCTCACCACAGGGGTGTGTCCTTTCCCCCCTCCTCTTCATCATGTATACTGATGCTTACAGGAGCTCTCAGGAGGGCAGATCATGTGTCATCAGAAAATGTGACCAGGTTCACATTTTCTGATGACACAGCCTTGTTGTCTCTCCTCCAGGGTCCAGAGTCCATTAAGACCACGGGAGAGCTCTCCCTGATTTTATTTTATAGTGTGATGACAACTTTTTGCAATTGAATGTTTCAAAAACAATGAATTCGTCTTCGACTTTGACAGAGTGCATGATACATAGTAAAAATGTGGAGATTGTAAAGTCATACAAATACTTGGGCACATATTTGGATGACCAACTGAAAATTTGATGCTAACACTGAGGCTGTTGTCAAGAGGGGCAACAGAGAATTCACCTTTTAAGGAAACTGAACTCTTTCTCAGTCAGTCCTGTAATACCAGTCTTTTATTGAGAGTCTCCTTTGTTTTTCTCTGTTATCTGTTGGTTTCACAGCCTCTCAGTTAACGACAGAAATAGTCTTATAGGAATTGTTCAAATCCGTTCTAAGAGAGGAGTGAAACAGAGAGATTTTAACTCTTTTTGTAACCAGCAGATCCTCAGGAAGGTTGAGAGTATTTTAGCTTCTTCTGGTCACGCACTCTTTAGTGAATTTAGTCTGCTGCCATCACGTTGCTGTTATGTTTTACCTGCCTGTAAAACTAACCGCTACTCAAAATCGTTCATCCCCTCTGCGATCAGATTACTGAATGCTCCTCAATGATCTTATCTTTTGGCGCCACATATCTTTTATTTATTCTTTTATTTGACTGATCACTCTAGTGTGTTTTCATTTCGTCGGGCTGACTTTTAATCAGTCTGTCTAATATCAGTGTCTCCTTTAGGTCTTATCTATGTTTTAACTCCTTGTGTAATCTATTGCTTGTACATGAACTTGTCTTTGTTCGTGTTTCTTTCTCATGTGTACAAGCTGCTCCACACCAATTGCCCCTAGACGGATTAATAAAGTTGTTTGAATTTAATTGAATTGAAGCTCTAAATGGCCAGGCACCAGCTTATTTTAGAGACAAGATGTATTCGATGCATGGATTAAAGGCCTGCTTGTGGTACCTACAGTCTCTAAATGTACTATGGGAGGTAGAGCCTTCAGTTATCAGGCCTGCTCGTGGTACCTACGGTCTCTAAATGTACTATGGGAGGTAGAGCCTTCAGTTATCAGACCTGCTTGTGGTACCTACGGTCTCTAAATGTACTATGGGAGGTAGAGCCTTCAGTTATCAGAGCTGCTCGTGGTACCTAGTCTCGAAATGTACTATGGGAGGTAGAGCCTTCAGTTATCAGGCCTGCTTGTGGTACCTACGGTCTCTAAATGTACTATGGGAGGTAGAGCCTTCAGTTATCAGGCGTGCTCGTGGTACCTACGGTCTCTAAATGTACTATGGGAGGTAGAGCCTTCAGTTATCAGGCCTGCTCGTGGTACCTACGGTCTCTAAATGTACTATGGGAGGTAGAGCCTTCAGTTGCCATAGACATTTTCAACAAGACAAGACACATTATTTGTCATTATTGAGTTTTAATAACATCATGACAAGTCATAAATATACACATGGTGTGTGCATTTCCTTTAATTTTATTATGCATGAAGTGTTTTGGTGGAAGTTGATTTTATGCCATACAGACAGAGTCAAATAACTAAATAAACCTGACTGCAACATCTTGCACAATAAAGCGTTCAGTTTGAGCAACATTAGAACATCAGGACTTTTGGTTGTTTCTTTTTGTTTGAGGTTATTGTGCCACTTTGGAGAGTTAAACCGAAGGGAAAAGGGAAAGGAGAAATGTTTCTCCAGAGCCAGAGGCACACTACAGCTTATTAAAACACCAAAACACAAATATGCAAGCACTTACATACATTGGTGGACATGGCTTTGAAGGTAGACTTGACAACCTAACGGTAAATAATTACTTAATGGATTCATTTCCAGCCTGGACATCGAACTCTGCACACACAGGCATTTGTGTTATTGGACAAAATGTTTTGACATTGCACAGATTTCCGATGAATTTGATTTGAGGGGAAAGTAGTATATTTTCAATATAGAAATAATTTTCATAAAGGTTCACATTTTCACATCCAAGATATTATATTACAGCCCCCATACAGTTATATATGTACACTCTAGCTATATACATCATACACATAAATAAATTAACTTTATATTTATTAAATAATTCATATTTAAATCTGTCAAAATGTGCTGGTTTATGAGCACATTGCAGCTAAACCATTAAGTGTACCAGTCCCATATCAGCTGCTCAGTCAGTCCATGAACTCTTGAACTCTGTGTGGGTCAGCACAAGCTGCATCAAGCAGTTTCCCACACCTTGCTTTGTGTTGTTCTGTCAACAAGATGTTGAGTCTCAGCTCTATAATGTGGTCTCACTGCTCATGTCCCGGGGGCGGTGGTGGTCGATGTCTGAGTCATAGTCTGACTCCATCTCGATCTTGACCTGGGGCACAGGACAGGCCATCCCTCGGCCCATTGGCACAGCAGGAGACGACGGGCAAGAGATCTTCAGGTGGAGGGTGATGCTGAGGAAGGGCAAGTTCCAGTTACCATACACACCCACAGCTTGAAACACTGAGGGGCTTAGGAAGGAGAGGCTGGGGAGGGTGGAGGAGCTCCACCATCTGACATCATAACCAAGGTTGTTCACTACAGCAGTTCATTCAGAGATGAGTGAGACAAGAAATGAGCTGCTGTAGAGTTTCACTGAGGTCACAATGTCTTTCGGTGAAGACTGGGATACTCTGAGGCTGGGAAACATTTTTTTATGTCATGAACATAAACACAGTTTGTTGTGAGCCTTTGCAAACCCAAGGGATACTTGTTTAACGCTACAGACTGAGCCACATTTCGAACCTCATCTGATAGTATCTTAACAATCGAGCAAGAAGTGTAATTCTTGCAAAAATAACAGAATTATTTTGTTTCAGACGCATCAAGAAGGAGACCGATATTACTCAAGGCTAAAGGGAAGACAGGACTCTTTTTGGAAACTGGGCTATAATGATACCTAAAACTAAAGTAATGGTAAGCCTTAATAATTACACTTTATTTATTGATCAAAGCATGCTATGCCACATATATTTTATAGTGCCAAATCAGAGTACAGTTATGAATCAGAAATCAATGCCATTGTCAATTCCTAACCATGCCTCTTTCAAGCAATGCAGAACTGATAGGTAGTTTTGAACCCAACCCCCAAATTAAAAATAGAAAAGCAGAATCAAACAGAGCATTTGTGTTTTGTGTTTAATGTGTAGCATATTTAGCAAAGGTAACAAAAAATAGCCTAAGCAGCAGCATTCAATGCAAGCCTTCCCATTGTAACGGCTGCTGCCACAGGAGAGGAGAGTGCAGAAACAAACACATCTACAGTAAGGCTACATTTCCTGTGCAGATGTGAGCATTGATCTGATGAAGAAAATCAGCTCATGAAGAAAAAGAAACAACCAAAACAATGATGCTTGTTGCATGTAGATGATTACACAGTCGTATACAAACTGAGCTACTATAAATCATCTTTATGTACTACATATAAAACACTCTGAATATATCACATGTGGTTCATCTGTTTACAGTCCCTGATCAACTGCTTCAAGACACACAGCAGACTATACATCAGGCATTTCAGGACATCACATTTCTACTCACATTCACTGCCCCTTCAAAGCTAACTAAACATTAAGAGGTACAATATGCTGAGTGTGCAGATACTGTTCAACAGGAAGAGTGGCGAGATGATAACACAGTTAATAACAATACAATGATCTGCATTGCCTTCAAGTGCATGGAGAGGAGAGTGATCGAAACATGACAAAGAGAGACAGCTGGACTATGAGGACACTTTAAGTAACCTGTGTCCAATCATGGATGAAAAGGGAAGATGGGCACAATTAACATTTACTTTTATCATTGTTATTATTTATAGATCCTGGAAACAAATGAAAAGAATGTGGGGGTGTTTTATTGTTAAAGGCATTTAATATAATGATTAAGGAGCAAAGAGCACAGAGGGATTCATGCACTAAAGCCGGTTTAATGATCAACCCCAGAGAAACATGATAATACCTGTGACAGGCCAGCCCGCTGTCACCTTTCATTTGAGCTTCCCTAAAGCTAATCTAATCTTACAAAGACACGGCAGGAGAGACTTGATGCTCTCTACAATCAGACTGGAAAAAGTTTGTGTGTGTACTATATATCTGTATGTGCCAAAATGAAACCAAGCTTATGAGACAAGAAACAAAAAAGAAAGATACTACAACTAAATGTGCTTATATGGACACTTTGAACAAAGTAAAGGTTAGCCTTTGTCAACATTTTAAATGACTCAAATTCCAAGTAACATATTTCATCTTGGCATAAAGTCAAGACTAAAGTTTGAACTCTAATTGCTTTTCTCAAATCTGCATCATAGATTTCTATTCATGGTAATGAAAGTGAATTAATTCACAAAAGGTGGTGAAATAAATGAAAGCGTTAGTTAGGTTACATCATGTGGCTGACTCAGCATCTTTTTAATCAAGGTGGTGTAAGAACAATACCAGTGCTCCGCTCATGTTGCCTTTCTGCTTACCTGAAAGTTATGATGTCACTTCCTGTGACATTTCAAAATCCCCATTTCAAGCCAGAGTCTTCTTTATATTTTACAATAACATCATAAAGTACTCCACGATAATTGAAGGGCTAACCACCACTAGACACTTTAGACTTTTTGTAATGAATGCAAACTGTTTGTGTGTGTGTGTGTGTGTGTGTGTGTGTGTGTGTGTGTGTGTGTGTGTGTGTGTGTGTGTGTGTGTGTGTGTGTGTGTGTGTGTGTGTGTGTGTGTGTGTGTGTGTGTGTGTGTGTGTGTGTGTGTAGGGAGCAGCCTGTGTGGTAGCCGGCTGGCAGTATGCCCCCCACTGAGACTGAACAACATCAGGGTAGACTAGATCTTTGTAGGGGATGTGCAGTTTGAGGACACAGTACCTGCGATCCAAGTCTGACTCTGAGCTCGGAGAGTGGTTTGAGTAGTTATGACACTTGTCCTGCAAGAAGACAGACAGACAGGTTAGACAGACAGACAGACAGAGCTTGTATTACTAGTAGAAACAGAAACTAAAGTAATGCTCCTCTAAACCTGCAGAGGGCGGTATAAGCCTGCAGTTTCTCACCTCGTCCTCACTGTCATTTGGTTTGGCCTTCTTCTTCTCCTTCTCTTTCCCCCCTTTCTTTTTATCGTCATCCTTCTTCTTCTTTTCTTTTTCAGGAAGGAGGTCGTCCAGCCAGGCCAGGTCATGCTGGGAAAAGATCATGTCCAGCATCTTTCTGACAACCATCAGTCCCAGAATCTGAAGGATTTACACACCAAGATTCAGTGACAGGCAGGCGGACTTCTGTTCCTATAACTTCATGCACAGACTGGATGTGCATTAGTGTCGACCCTCTGCTCTGAGAGTGATCAGAATATGCAGGATGCTTTTATCAAGTCGTGATTTCAGGCCTTTAGTTTGACACTCTGTCACATGATCGGATATCATCATGTGTTGAAATAGTTAAACAGTCGTCACACATTCTCCTCCCACTACAGCAACAAAAGGATTGATCATAAGCTTTTTGAAGAAGTTTTTTTCACATACCATAACAGGGAAGATGATGGCCAAGAATGTGGATTTGAGGACCCAGAGGATAGCAAGACATATGATCTGGACCAGTGTGAAGAGGTGTACTCTTCTCAGAGGAACATGGCGCAGGTAAGAGAAGTCAGGCTGATGCTTGGACGGCATCATGCACAATTTAATCCTGTCCCAGAACTGTGGAAGACGATGGTGGGGGGACGACGTTGACGACATAGAACAGAAAACATGTTTGTTTTGTGTGTTTTGTGTTTTTTGTGGTTTTGTGTTTTTTGTTGTTTTTTGGTTTTCTTTCTCTCTTCTCTCTCTTTTGACTCTTCTTTTCTTTCTTTTAATTTAGTTGTATTCTTTCATTTTATATAACTTATTTGTTTGTTTGCCTTTCCTAAAGATGTTAAATATCGTAGAGAAAGGGAAGCCTTGATGGAGGGAAACATTTATGAATTTATGTAACACAGATCCAAGCTACTTTAAACAAACTGTGATACATGTTTCTGTATTGTAAGTGTTATTTTTAGTATTTCCACATCACTGGGGGGACACAACCTTTTTGACACCACACCACTTAAAAAAATGTAAAATATTGTCATCCTTATGTTGAATATAAAACATGGTCTGAGTGGCAACTTCTTTTCCATGTAGGCTGATCTAAATCTCGAACCCTAAATTATTTGTGGATTATTTGCAGGTCATACTTCTGACCTGTCTGTGAAGTATGACAGAGGAAAGGGACAGAGACTCCTCCAGACTTTAAAAGGCTTATCAGCTCATTTACAAGCATTCTGCTACATTAACCAGACACCTGACAAACAGAAATAAACGACTGACACATTCAGTGAAGCAGGTGAGTATATATATATGGTTTCATATCTGGTTTGTCCACCTTGGATGATTTCCTCTCCGGGAGTCCATAACATCCTTAAAGAGTCCTAGATCATGTCTGCTGGAAAAGGATGCTGCTTTGCTTGATAGCTAGAAAACCTGTTTCCCACCACCCACCTCAATAACAACACATACGCTATCAAGAAAGCAATAAGTAATCAATGGTAAGACAAACTCTACCTACCTGGATCCCACTGAGGGAAGCTACCCCCATATAGAGGAAGACACCGTACAGGACAGGCATGGGAATAAACTACAAGGAGGAAGACAAAACAGTATTTAATCACACACGGACAGATGGTAGCATGGCATATATCATTTTAACATTTGGATTTTTATTTCTCAAACAATAAAAATAAGAAAGCTACAAAGTGACTCTGAAGTACACATCCTCACATCCCACTCGCTCTTCATGTTGACCAGTTATCAAAAATAAAGATAAACTTTATTGATCCCCCATGGGGGACATTTTTTCAGCTCAAGAAACAAGAAACAGGAATATAATTATCAAAAATAACAAGAAGTTAAAAATCAAACATGTGTACATCAGTGATGATTAAACAGTCTGACTACAGATGGGATGAACAACCTGTGGCAGCGCTCAGTCTTGCAGGGTTCTTGTGTCCTAACCAACATGACGACCTCGCTGTGGCGTCTTGTTCAGTAATGAAACTACATTTCAGTTCCATGTTGGTGCCCTGTGTTCCAACATGGTGTTGCTTTAATTTACAGGAAACAGCGAGCTTCATTTGGATCATTTTTAAGATTACAAGCTTAAGATGAGCATGAGATGATGGTGGGCTTCAGCCTTCAAAGATGGCCGACATGAACGCTCCCTTAAGTCTGAAGGCCGAACCATGAACAATATAAAACATGCACAGAGTCTCAGTGACGTCAGCCATTAGTCCTTAAGAGAAGTTTTGAAGATGAATGATGGGAAAGGAAAAGTTATCTCAACCATCAGTCTAGAAACAGACAAAGACGTTGAGCTGATGCTAAGCTAAAGCCTCTAAACACATCCACCTGTCAGTCAACTCAGCCACACACTAAATTAATCAAATGTATGAAACGCCCTTTGGCTAGTTATAAAACCTTCAGCCCCTGTACAGTGTGTACACATAATAAGGTAGAGGGTGAACTATACCAGAGATAAGAACACAGGATGATAGAATCTGAAGCTGTGTTTAGATATGTAAATCAGCACCATGAGGTCTTTCAGGCTGATTCATACCTTCAGTACTGGAGCAAGGAAGATGGAGACTCCAGTCAGAGCGAACACCACCAGGCCCGTCATTCTTTGTTCTCTGTCATTTGAAAATGGATTCAATAAACAAAAGAGGAAGACAAATCAATGTCACAAAGCTTCTCTCTGTTTCAACCACAAAAGAACTTTGTGAAGTGTAGCACAGATCGATGTTCATTTCTGTTTCTGTGGACTAACCTGACCCCGAGGAACTGAGGTTGCTCTCCTGGAGCGCTGGACTCACTCTCCATCTTCAGGGAGTCGATGTGGGCAATAGAGATGACAGTGGCAGCGACGTACCAGGGCAGGCCCAGGAAGGAGCAGACGGCCATCAGGACGCCCACCCAGAAGAGATCCAGGTGGTAGCCACAGCCTTTCTGCAAGAGACACCAGACGGAGACAGATATCGCTTTTCAGTGTTCTTCAGTCGAGATGTTTTTGATTAAGTCATCAGATTTGTAACAACATATAAACCTACTTTCAGTTTGTTCTCCTTGCGGTTGACAATGACGGCACTGATCTGCTGGTCCATGAAGATGAGAATAGTAACCAGGAGAGCCGGGACAAAGCTGGCTAGATAGACCCACCACGGGTTCTTTCCAAAGGGCATCACCAGCCAGCCACGTTCTGGACGAGTCGGCTGGAATGAAACAAGAGGTTTTATCATTTACAGAATAACGACTGTGTGGATCATATCAGTTTAAAGACGAGGATCTCTCACAAAGTGGTTTTACATTGTTTCACATTATTGTGATAAAAAGCTAGGTAGAGATTGTATTTCATCGATGGTAAATCAGGAAGTCAGTATGATGTAGAGCCAGGAAGCAGAGACAATAACTACAGTCTTTCAATCAGAATCTCTTCCCCTCAGTAAGAAGCTCATTACATATTTAGGTTCAACACCCAAACTCAAAATTACATGGAGCGTCGGTAGACTAGCGGTGAGTTTGCTCGCTCTATGTACAGCGGCAGACCGGGTTTGAATCTGACCTGCAGCTTCTTTACCTCCTTCCCTCTCTCTCTCTCTCTCTCTCTCTCTCTCTCTCTCTCTCTCTCTCTCTCTCTCTCTCTCTCTGTCGCTCTCTCTCCCTCTCTATCTCTCTGATAGTTCACTCTATCCACTGTCCTATCTTTACATTAAGGCGTAAAAAGCCAGAAAATAACTCTTCATAAACAAATAAATTCCAAGACCATAAAGTTGATAAGTTAAATTTTCCATCGACAAAATGTCAAATGTCAAGGTCGGCCATTTATTCAAATGTTTATAATTGATATTGTAGTGTTGTCAGCGGGCTTGAACTGAACTGCAGTTAAAGATGTCCTAAATGGTTGTCCTCACATTGACCCCAGTAAGGGACTTCTCCCAGCCAAGAAGTCGTTTAAACCTCGAGCTGGGCCTGTAGAGGGGCTCTCAGCTGATTTTATATAATATTTAATTTATGCTTTGGACAGCACTTTGTGAGCTGCTTCCACTTCTTTCTTTATTTGTGCTGCCTCCTGGTTCCAGCATCCTTTTCAAAGGAAAGATTAAAAATACAGCTCCCTAACAACACACAGAAGTTTGGAAGTGAACCACGCTACCTTAAATTCTGTGGGGACGATTAACTTAGGAGTCTTCAGTCCAATCAGCATATCAAGGCCCACGAAGGTCATGATGGACATGAAGATGGAGAAGTCGCTGATGAGTTTCCTCAACTGTATCCAAGAACAGACAACAGCAATAATATTAAACAACAAATTGTTAATGTGAGTTTAGAGAACTAAAGCAGAGAGAAAAGTTGATGTGATGCCACTAGAGCTCCAGTATGAACAGATACAGATGTTACCATAAAGTGTCTATCTACATATCTATGCACACTGGGAAGCACGTTGTTACCTAATGAACAGTACAAATAAAGTCTAATTATTAAAAGTAGTATTATCATGAATCTTTTGTAAACCCATACAGAACAAACCAAATGACGGATTTTTGTAGGCCAACCCTGAAGTAGTATCGCCATGGGGTCTAACGAGAATTCTCTTATGGGATTTTTTCATTGGATTTTGGATCATTGCAGAAAATAAGCTCTGTGACAAACACACGTTTCTGAAGCGTAGGCGTTTTGTTCAGCAGGATAATCTTCACAGATGAACACCATTTTTATGATGTTTGAAGCGTTGTGTGATGATGTTTAATGTCCCTGACAACCACTGTAGTCACATTTAGCCACTTGTTAGCAACCGCCTTTTTAAAGACGCGTAAAAACTTCAAAATTCACAAGTGGGGGTGTTACCTAACGTAGTTTATGTGGTCTGACAAAACACCAACATCTCTTCAGCTTGTGTTAACCACAGACCTTATTTCAGGCGTCTAACCACAAACCCATTCAAAATCCACATTGACTTTTAGACCCCATGACACTACAATGCTAACTTACTTCCTGGTTTTAGGACTCATTCCTATGGCGCTCTATTCTGGTGTGAGTAACGGTTCATGTGATTCTTAGCACGATACTCTCATGTACATGCTTGTGTAGAAGCTGCTGAGAGGATCGTAAACAATATAAGGATCTACTGCAGGACAAAGTCAGTGATGATTAAAATGTCTCAATCATCCAAAGAATTATTCTCTTGATCAAATCAGGACTGATATCTGGAGGAACATCACATTTACTGCATTGTAAAACATCCACAAGTCATTCAAAATCAAAGCTTAATGCAACAAAATATTATTTTGATCCCATTAGTTTCATCATGACCTGAGCAGGTTTTTATTCTCCTCACAATGCAGCACTACTATAACCACACTGGTAATTGTTTTTGACCCTCTTACATAAAATCAAAGACAGATGTAGCTGAACAGGACGCCCTTTAAGTGTAGTTAAGCTACTTCATAAATCTTAAGAAACAGGAAGTTCTACAAACAAATGTGAATATCTCTTCTCAACGTGTCTTCCTGTTTCCTGGATGGGTGGAGCTTCAGAGCTAATACAGGCAGCTGACGAGCAGCATGTGGATGAAGCCTAAGAGTTCAAACTCTATGATTGATATTGTAGTGTCGTCCGTGGTATGATGGACCTTTTTTAGAATTGGATTGTGGTTGAGAAATGATTAATTCTATATCTATATTCCATATCTTTTGTTGGACCTTTACCTTTGTTTTTATTCAAACCTGACTTCAAACACTG